TTGTAACATAAGAGAAATTGCTGTGGTGGGCCATCATTATCAGAAATAGGCCCTATGGGTTTGTTGTTTTCTATAGTTGTAATTTTGTAACTTAAGTCGGAGTCGGCCAAGGGTAGCGAACCGTAAATCCCATATGTTCTTCAGTTTTGTATAAACAAAGTCATATGATCGAGCAATAATAATTATATTTATGGTGAATTATTATCGTGCAGAGATCGTAAAAAATTTCCTCTCAATTCTTAGAAGTTTTTACTCCTGCCGTTTTTTTCTCATATCGATATTCATATTCATATCATGCTATATAATATAATATTCATTTCGTTTTAATGTATAAGCTAGAAAAAAAAAAGAAAAAAAAGTTATCGATTGTGAAATTATCATCAATTTATAGTATAAAATACATGTTTTTTCTATTATGAGCGCTTCCATGTGTGTTTTCTATTTTTTTCCCCTAATTTTTGTCGCCTTTTCTTTTTTTCTGGGGGGTTTTTACCGGTTTGATGAATAGATAATCATTGATCGTCAAAGTTCATAACGAAAGATTCTTAAATTTTTTTTTTTTTCATTCACCAAGGTTATTTCTTGTGGCTGGGATGCTTGAAAAAGTTGATGCAAATATTTATATCCCGTTTATGTGGCTTTATTTATTAGTTCTTAGCAAATCATTTGTGTGGCCAAATCTAAGCAAACATGTGATTTGTATTATACGTACTATGAGGCTGAAAGAATAGTTAATTCGTAATTCGTCTATAAATAGTAAATCTACATTAATTATCAAATAGTAAATTTTGGGGATAAGATTAATATATCTTTTATATAAACTTTAGAATCTGACTGTTCTTACTTACATGACTAAACGTAAAAACTACAATACACAACTTTTGGCATTAGGTGTTTTAATACCTGAATTACATTATGGACGACATGCGCGTGAATGGTGGGTTTCTATGACAGGTACAAATTTGATTGACAATGGTCTTTTTCCACTTCGAGTTGGGCAAAAAATTGCAGTTGAACTAAATGGAAGACAATTTATTACTCGAATAATTCATGAAAATAATATTCCTAATTACTGTTGTGAATCATAAGAAGTTTCGGGATCTGTAGAAAGTTCTGCTACTAATGCTATATCTAAAAGTATATTTCATGTTGCTTCTAAATTTTCTGGTTCTTTAATACTAGGTCATGACAAAAAAACAATTATACAAGAGCTACTTTTGGAAATCCCTTTTCACCCTTTTAAAGTTGAATATAATAAACATCAAATTTGTCTTGGAACTTCAAAATATCCTGATTTTTTTGGAGCTGGTCCGGGTTATTCATCTTCGTTTCTTTACTTTTATACAAAAAAAAAAAAAAGCAATGAGTTTTAATTTGGCAAACTATTGATGAAGATGGTTGTTATATAGAGATGTATTATGATAATAAACTTTTGAAAAATTTCACGGTCAAACTCCTAGCATGGTCTGGAAAAATGCTGATTTTTTAACTAATACAGACAGAATTGGACTTTTTGGACTGAATAGTAATATTAATCAAGATCAATTAAATAAAATGCATAACTTGAAGTGTTTACCTAAAGACTGGAAAAATGAAATACAGATGAAAAATTATATAATCATCATCTTCGTAAGCGTACAATTTCAACTATTAACTGGTATAGTGTTTTTATTAGTTGGTTGGATCAAAGTACGATTATAGAATTATATGGCACATTAGAAAAAATATACCCTAGTAATTATAATTTTTCTGAATGAGAAATTCAAGCTTGGCGTGCTAGTTAAAGGCAGCAGGTTGCAATTCAATTACACCATTTTCTCATGATGAATCTCAGGTAAAAAAAATATATATATATAGTATATATACACACACATAAGTATGTGATTCACCGCTTTTTATCTTATTAGACTCTGCTCCTGAAGAATATAACCTACATGATATTTAGCTCTTAATGTCATTTTCCTTTAATGAACCTATTTTAAGTAAACAATCGAAGTAACTACTGTAAACGGGTATATAAAAGATTCTCAATCTACCAGATACTATACCCAAGTGCAAATCTCAGGATCTTCTTGATTAAAATATAATTCTTTTTAAATGTTTAGATTGCAATTTATAAATGCAAAGTGTGTATACATTTCATACTTTTATTTTCTATAATACAAACTCTTGGCCATGTACTAGACCGGTCTATTATAGATTTTAAAATTGGTGGAATATAACAGACCTGGGTTTTTTATATGTCCGTTTACAGTAGAATATTTAGTTATATTCATTGTGGGATAAATTTTATATAGGCTGAGTTTAATAAAGTGAAAAGTTGTGAATCAATTTATTAGTTTTCTTTTTCTGCAATTTATATAATGGTTTCAAAAGTCTATAATCTAATAATTACATAATTGAAAAAAAAATACAATTCTATTTTATTTTCTACTTGTGATCTTAATACACATTATAAAATTTATTATTATTTTTTTTTTCAACGATTTTTATATATAATATATCGTATTCAAATTAAAGTAATTATCTAAACAAAAATTTATATCTAAATTCGAATATGAGTACTACCAAAGAAAAATGTGACTTCGGGTTTTCAAATTTATCATTTATTATTTATTGGATTCAGCCATATTAGTAATATATATAATTAAATTTTCCATAAACTGAATCTGATAAATAATAAATGATAAACTTGAAAGTCCAAAGTCCCATTTTGTCTAAAAAAATTCAAATTGATTACTATTAATATAGACTTCTGACATCTTAGTTATTGATTGATATAATTTAGTTACATTTTATAAAAGTTATATTATGCATATATTTGTATAAAACATAACTTAAAGCTACATCATTATATTTCATCTATAATCTAATAAATTATAATTATCAAAATTTATTAGTATGAATTTTGGACACATTCAGAAAACCCAAATACAGACCAAAATAATTTGCAATCTTTATATGATCAAGAATTTTTGTGATCTATATCTGAGCATATTTTTAATGCAACCAAAACATTTTGGAATTGTTTTGCTTGAGCTCTTGTGGAAAACCCATATGGCTTAAATGGCCAAAGATGTATATTGTCTATAATAGCTGATAGTTTCAAATATAAAGACCTGCAAAAAAAACTTGAAGGTATTATATTGCTTCAAGATAAATATCAAAATATAATTATCAAATAATAATATATATTTTATACTTATCTTAGGTCTCCCCAAATTCAATTAGCACAGCAAAAATTTATAGTAATATAAATAGACATAGTAGTCCATTATTATCTAAACCTAAAATTAAAAGACAAATGCTACCAAAAAAATTAGAAGAAGAATTAGAAACATTCCTTAATGATAAAAATAATGTAAATATGAGTTTGTATAAAACAGACAAAGAAGGTCATACAATTAAATATTTGAATGATAATAAAGAATGTCTTTGGAAGCATTATTCTCAAGCATTTTCAAATGGAATGAAAAGAATGGCATTTATGACTCAATTAAAAGAAGAACCATTCTGATATCATGAAAGTTTAGGAGGATTATATGCTATATGTAATCAATATGGATATGAAATTTTTAAAGACTTGAAAAATCTAATTATTCAAGAATTAAATAATTCTGAAAAACAGGTAATTACCTTTAATATAATGAAATAAATAATTATCACAACCTCTTTATCATAAGAATTCTATTAAATAGTTCATTACCAAAAAGTTTTATCTGATTAATATCACCTACTATTTGTAGTTGGTTGTATGATCTTTTAATCTACTAAAACTTTAGGAGCAAATATAAAATAATATTCATTAGTTTTTTGATATTAATTATAGAAATCTTGGATAAAAAAATTCTAAAGTATTCAACAGTACTTAAAGCATGACTATCAAAATTATATAAAAGTAGATATAGCTAGAAATATAAAACATGATATGTGTATAAATCACTGTTTGCTATATGCTTTTGGCAATTGTAACCAACTTTATAATATTAAATGTGATGAGTGTTCTAAAATTTTTGAAATATTTGCTGATTTAAAATCTCAGCTTTCTGTAACCAAATTAAATGAAATTGAAGAATATCAGAAACAATTGCTTTACTATCTATCACATCAAACTCAAAAAACATATACTAATACACAATTTAACATAAGTCTCACAGAAATAGATTCAAATAGTGCCCTAATTTTAATCGACTATAAAATAAAAATCTTACCTACTCAAGCATATAAAATGAAAAGAGACTTCTTTGGTAAAAGAGAATGGATACTTTATAGTATACTCATATATACAAGGACAGAAAATAGTGCTGAATTCGAAATAAATGTATTTGATCATTGGTCAACAGATTTATATCAAGATACATGATTTATAGTATCTTCATTGCATGTCATATTAGTTACTATATCAAAAAAACCTAAATAGATTATTATAATGTCAGACAATGGTCTGCATTATCATAACACAGAAATGATGGTAATTATAAACTAATGGTATAAATAGTATGAAATCAAAGTTAAAAAGTAGATCTTTTTAGAAGCAGGCGAAGCAAAACTACAATTAATTCACATCATGCTCAGGTACTGTACCTTTTTAGCTCAAATTTTGGACTTGCTTATTTTTATTTTTTTTTATTTTTTTATTTTTTTATTTTTTTTTGATTTGATCAAGATATCACATGCTATCCAAAGACACGTACATCTAGAATTTGGAATAAATACTGGTAAAGATATTGAATTGGTGATAAAAAATATGGCAGGTACTTCAAAAGCACACATTCAACCTAATTGTATAAAAAAAGATTAGAGATTCAGAATCTTGTCAGAAGTGTCAAATTGGAGAGAATGGCAGTGGCCAAATGATGGTCCTTATGCTAGTTATATTCATGCATAAGCACTATCTAATTTTGAAATATGGAAAAATTTTATCCCAGTTCAAATTGCAAAAGTAACTAAAATAACTTTAGCTTAACCTATGCCACAAATATCTGAGTATTCTACTCTGAAAAGTTTATGGAAAGTACCTCTTTATTGAATGACAAGTAAGAGATAAAAACTATTATTAATTATTATTATAAGTAGAGGCATAATGGGAGTTCTGGCACAATTTTTTGGCACTCTGGGTACTAAAGTAGTTATCTTACCTTTTTCATGTTTCTGTAAACCTATATTCTATATCAACTCTTTAGTATCTATATAAAAACCTGGGTACCAAAAATTATATAGCTAGAGCTCACTATTTTTATATTTTATAATCAAATCAGATGATGACAAAAAATTAATCCCATTATCATACCTGATATTATATACTATTCATCCATATATAAATCAAGGTACCAAAAATTATATATCTACTTTCCTTTTATAATACTTTTGATAATGTTTACCAACATAATAGCTTCTAATATGGTTAGAGCATCTACCACTTTTAGACCGAGTAGGTTTACCACAATCAATACAAGGAAAGCATTTGATTGCATTTTTATAAAGCCAGCACCCTTTAGGATTCATATATGATCAACTGCATATCTCTCCAGTTTATAAAATGAAATCATATATATATTCACCTAACTGCATTTTTTATATATGCCTACGACATATTAAGTTTCAAATTGAATAAAAATATATTATAGTAACAGATAAGGAATTTCGTACCAGCATCCATATACAATTTTATACTATTATTTTACTATGGTAATATATATATGTGATAGATGTGGAAAAGATTTTTCTAAATTAGCAAAACTTTGTATATATCTAGAACGAAAAAATCTATGTAAACTTAATATTCCAAATTCTATTACAGACACAAAGTGTTCTGCTTCACAGACTTCATTACAACAAAATTCAGCTATAGATCAAATTCTGATACAAACCCATGTTTCAATAGGTGATTTAATCCAATTGGATGATACATCCTCATCACCCATTCAAAATATACCTAAAAATGATACAGAATGGTTCAATAATATGGAAGATAGATATAATATAAATACTGGTATTCACTTTATTCAAACTAGAATTAGCAATCCAGAAAGACCCCATGATAATTTTAATTTATTAAGTAATTAGGAAGTCTTAGTTCCATCTATAAAAAATCTGAGATATGCATTTATTAAACCAATATCTGACTATAAAGAATATAATGAAACACCATATATGCCCCAAAAGCTAGAGATGAAATTACAAGAGTTCTTCAAATCAAGCTTAAAGAAAAGAAACATATAAAGTCAGCATTAGTTGCCCTTTGCTATTATGAAAAAGTAAACAAATCAC